TGGCGCGGGGCATCGTCGAGGCGGACTACGAGTTCAAGTCGCGGAGCGGCTTCGAGGACCGGCTCGCGGGCGCCGTGCGGCGGAGCCGGGCCGCGACGGACGACGCGCTCGAGGCGCGCGCGCTCGCGCGCGCACTCGCGGAAAGCGTCGGCGCGACCGACGCGGCGACGCGCGCGGCCATGGCCGAGAGCCTCGGGTCGGGCCTGACGGCGGGCGAGGAGCGGGCCATGGTCGAGCGGCTCGCGGCGCACACGGACTGCACGCGGGCCGAGGCGCGCGGCGCGCTCGCCGCGGCGAAATGGCACGAGGGCCGCGCGGCAGAGACGCTGCTGCCGGATCTCCTCTATCTGAGCCCGAAGAAGGACGCGGCCCAGGCGGCGAAGATCCGCCAGGTCGCTGACATCGGCCGCTGCTCCGCGGAGGACGCCGCGCGCGCGCTCGAGGCGAGCGGCTGGGACGCGTCCGACGCGCTCGTCGCCGTCGGGGCAGGAAAAGAGAGCGAAATTCCCAACTTCAAAGGCTCCTATCTCGGCCGTTTTCCACTCGTTTTGGCTGACTTTTGGACGAGCGATCATCTCTCGGAACGTTCTCGAAGCATGGATGCTTTTCCCGGAACGAGCGCGCGCGGAACACTCACGTTGAAGCGACGTTGAATCTCTCTTTTCCCGCCCAGGTCGCCGTCGCGCTCGGCGCCGTCGCGGCCAAGGGCGCGGACCGGCGCGTCGAGGACGCCAAGGTCGCCCAGGTCGTGGAGATCGCCGCCGTGTCGGAGGCCTGGGCCAAGCTCGCGCTCGAGTCCTGCCGCTGGGACGTGTCGGCCGCGTGCGCGTTCGTCGTCGCGGGGGTGCTGTCCAGGGCAGGAAACGGGTGCGAAGACTTCAAAGGCTCCAATCTCGGCCGTTTTCCACTCGTTTCGGCTGACTTTTGGACGAGCGATCATCCCTCGGAGCGCTCTCAAAGCGTGGATGCTTTTTGTGGAACGCGTACGCGCGAAACACTCACATTGAAGCGACATCGAATCACCCGTTTCCTGTCCCAGGTGCTGTCGCAGCCGACGACGGGCGGCACGCCGAACCTGCCCGCGCCGCCGGACGACGACGACGCGCCGCGTACAACAACGCCGCGCGACGCCGCGGCGCTCGCCGACGCGGACCGCTTCGCCGCCGCGTGCCAGATCCAGGCCGCGCGGCGCGGCGCGTTGGGGCGCCGCGCGTTCGCCGCGGAGCGGCGCCGGCGGACCGTCGCGCGGACCGCGGCGGTCAACGCCTGCCTGCGCGCGGCGCGCGACGCCGACGCGCGCGCGGCGGCGGCGGCGGCGGCGGCGACGCGGGCCGCGCGCGACGCGGGCCGCCGCGCGGCCGCCGAGGCCGCGGAGCGGCGCGCGGCCGCGGAGGCCGAGCGCCGCGCGGCCGAGGACGAGCGCCGCGCGGCCGAGGCCGCCGCGTTCCGCCGCGCCAACGAGGACGCGGAGGCGCGCCGGCGGATCCAGGAGGAGGCCGAGGCCGAGGTCGCCGCGCGCCGGGCCGCCGTCGCGGAGCGGGCCGCGGCGGACGCGGCGGGGGCCGAGGAGGCGGCCGCGCTCTTCGCGGAGGTCGCGACCTACCTCCAGCGGACGCTCCAGGCCCACCACCGCGGCACGCTCGGCCGCGCCTGGGCGGCCTACCTCCGCGAGGACCGGGACCGGAGCGCCGCGGCGGAGGCCGCGGCGACGGCGCTCCAGGGCCGCGCGCGGCGGCGGCGCGCGGCCGCGGCCGCGGCCGCGCGCGCCGCGGCGGCGGCGGCGCTGACGCGCGGGCTCCGGCGGCGCCTCGGGGCGTCGAGGCGCCGCGCCGCGCGCGCCGTCGCGCGCGAGGTCGAGCTCGAGGCCGCGCGGCTCCAGGCCGACGCGTCCGCGCGCGCCGCGGAGGTGGCCGCCGCGGCCGCGGAGGCCGCGGCGACGAGCGCCGCGGCGAAGGCGGCGGCCGCCGCGCGCGCCGCCGCGGCGCGGGCGGCGGAGGCGGCGCGCGTCGAGGAGGCGGCGACGCAGGCGGCCGCGGCCGACGCGGCGGAGGCCGCGCTCGCGGCGGCGGCGGCGGAGCGGGCGGAAGCGGAGCGCGCGGCCGCGGCCGAAGCGGAGCGTGTTGCCGCGGCCGAAGCGGAGCGCGTTGCTGCAGCAAAGGACGCGGAGCGCGTTGCTGCAGCGGAGAGGGAGGCGGAACTAGCGGCGGCGAAGGAGGCGGAGCGCGCCGCGGCGGCGACGGCCGAGGCCGAGCGGGCCGCCGAGGCCGCGGAGCGGGAGCGGCGCGCCGCCGGGGCCGACGCGCGCGCGGCGGCGTTGCGGCGCGACGCCGAGGCCGCGCGGCGCCGCGAGGAGGCGTCGCTCGCGCGGCGCGCGGCCGCGGATCGCGCGGCGCGCGAGTCGGACGCGGCGCGCGCGGCCGCGGCCGTCGTGTCGCGCCTCGAGGCGGCGGCGCGCGGGCCCCGGCCGGGCGCGGCGGCGTCGCCGAACAAGCGCGGCGGCGGGCGGCGGCACACGGTCGCCGCGGACTTCGAGCTCCCGGCGGACGCGACGCTCGAGAGCTACCGGTCCGCGGCGCCGCGGCCGCGGAAGCCCCGGCAGCGCATCCTCAAGACCATCAACGGCGCCCAGTACGAGCGCGTCGGCGGCGGCTGGGCGCCCGTCTTCGCGAGCTCGAAGCTCTGGTCGTCCGCGGACGAGAAGCGGCGGCGGCGCAAGTCGAGCGACAAGCTGCCCGCGGTGCCCGGCGCGCTGCCGCCCCTCGCGCGGCGCGACGCCGCCGCCGCGGCCGCGCGCGACGAGCAGCGGTCCTCGTCGGCGAAGTCGAAGCGGCTCCCCGCGCTCGGCGCGGGGCTGCCCCAGATGCACCCGCCGCGGCGGTCGTCCGCGCCCGTCGCGACCTAGGCTTAGACTTACGCGTCGTCATCGCCGGCGCCGACATAGGCTTCGACGTAGCGGAGCCACTGGCAGCGGAAGTTGTCCACGTCGAAAGGCGCCAAGGGTGTCCGGTAAGTCCGTTTCGTTCGGTCGGCGCGGTTCTCCGTTTTAAGCTTGGAGTATTTGTTCAGGAGTGCTTTTGAAGTTTTGGTCATCCACTCGATCGTCACGGATGAGTTCTGCGCGTCGAGCACCTCGGCCATCATCTGCAAAACCGCGGGCTCGCCGAACTTCTTCCGCACGGCGCAGGTGAACTTGTCGAAAGCCACGCTAGAATCGTCGAGGATGACGAGGTCGTTCATGCGCGAGTCGCGCACGCAGATTCCGTCGATACCACGCGACCGCATGCTCGCGTTGACGAGTTCGGCAGCGTGATCGAGGCTCTTGACTTCGATAACGGATTCGATGGCGTAGAGCTGCAGGAGGTCCTCGTCCGTCCATCCGTGGTGCGATGTGGCCATGCCTCCGGAGAAGACGTTCTTCGCCTGCAAGCGCGAGAGCATGTGCGTGTGGGTCTCCGCGGCGTTGCCGGCGCGCCGGCCGACGAGAACGGCTATCTTTGTCATGCGGTAGCCCGCATGGGCACTTACCTCAGGATGGAAGAGGGCGTTCTCGATGACGCCTCCATTATCTTTGCTGCCGTAATTCGCTCCGCGGCGGTACCAGCGGCTCACCTTCGTGATGCCGAACTTGAAAAACTTGGTGCGGTTTGCCGGCTTCTGGACGAACGCGAGCGCCTTCTTCGCCGCAGCGGAGCCCGTCTTCCGTGCGGCCTCCTCGAGCTTGCGATGAGACGCAGCGAGGTCGCGGAGCGATTTCAGCTGCGCTGCCACCGCGCGCGCATCCTTGCTGCTCGTCTTGCTCTTCGCTTTGCCCATGCTTTCAATTGCCGAGATCTGGCAGGGAATCGCTGACCTTTTCGCCACAAACGGCCGCTGAGCGCGCCGGAGCTCACGGCTCTAGCCACCCCAGTCCGGGGACGTCCGCGAGGGACGGCGTCGGCCAGGGGCTCGGATGGGACGGCGTCGGTGGTGTGGCGCGCGCGCGCGCGAAACCGACGGGCGCGGGCCCCGGTGGCTTCGGCGGCGCCGTGCGCCTCCGCGCGCGCTAAGCTAGGCGTTCGTTAGCACGGCCTCGACGATGGCCGCGGCGAGCTTCGCGCCGCCCCGGGGGCTCGGCTCGACGCGCTCGACGTAGTCCGCCGTGTCCGAGCCGTCGAGGATCTCGAAGAAGGGCAGGGCCACGACGGGGACGCCGTCGATGTGGATGCGCCGCGTGCCGAGCTTGAAGACGTGGCGGATGGCCCGCTGCAGCAGCTCCGGCTTCGCGTTGTACCCCAGGAGCCGCAGCGTGCCGTCGGCCCAGGACCCCCGTCCGTGGACGTCCAAGTAATAGATCATCGCCACGACGACGAGCTTCGGCTTCCGCTTCGCCACGAGGTTCGACGCGTAGGCCGTGACGCGATTCTTGAACAAATCCACAAAGTAGCCCAGACCGAGCGGGAACGAGCACAGCCCCGCGACGCAGCCCGGCAACCCGCAACCGAGGCAGCCGCAGTCCGTGAGCCCCGCGCACGGCGTGTAGACGTCCGGCGGGCACGCGCACGCGCACGCGTCCAGCGCCTCGCCGCAGCAGAGCCCCGCGCAGAGCAAGGGCACGATGTTCGCGCACGTGCACAGCACGGGCGCGAGCGCGATGTCGTTGCCGCCCACGCTCACGACGACGACGTCCTCCTCCGTCACATGGTCCCGCAGGAACGCGTCCTGGTCCAGCAGCCGCCCGAACGCGCGGTCGTTGAGCGACGTCGCCTCGATCGCCGTGTTCAGCGCCGCCCAGCCTGGGCAGGACAAGAGAGATTCAACGTCGCTTCAACGTGAGTGTTCCGCGCGCGCGCGTTCCAGAAAAAGCATCCACGCTTCGAGACCGTTCCAAGAGATGATCGCTCGTCCAAAAGTCAGCCGAACGAGTGGAAAACGGCCGAGAGAGGAGCCTTTGAAGTTGGGAATTTCGCTCTCTTGTCCTGCCCTGCGCCCAGCCCGGCGCGCGGTCCGCGAAGAGCTTGTTGACGTGGTAGGCCACGTCCTGCTTCATCTCCGGCGGCACCAAAATCGTCTCGTAGCCGTTGACCGCCGGCGCGCTGTCCTGGAACCAGAACTTGTTGTCCAACGAACTGTCGCCGGCGAAGAAGACGACCTTCTTCTTGTCCTCGCGCAGCCGCCGCTCGACGATCTCGCAGGGCCGGATGGGGTGGCCGTGGTACTGGCCGTACCAGCCGTAGGTGTCCACCGTGTCCGGATTGCCCGTGTGGGGCGGCGCCATCGTTTGCGCGCGCCCGGAGAGCTGCTGCCTTTACCACAGCTCGCCAAAGCTGCTTCAATATCACGGCACGGAGCAGCCTCTCTCGAAGGCCCCGACGCGATGTCTGCGCTGGACTTCCAGGCGCTCTACGCTGCCGAGCGGCGGCGGTTGAAAGCTCTGAAGCAAAAAAAAGCGCCGGAAAAAACACGGCAAGCGCCGGAACCAGCGCAAAAACCAGCACAACCCGACGCCCACGTCTCCTGCCTCGACGCAGGAAGGCCGCGGCCCACGCCGATCGCGCTCGACGCCCCGCCGACCATCGCCTACGCCGCGGACTTCGTCACGGAGGCCGAGGAGCGCGCGCTCGTCGCCGCCGCGGAGGCCGGCGCCGACTGGGTGTCGGTGCGCGGCCGCCGGCTCCGCCGCCTCGGCCAGGGCGGGACAAGGGTGATTCAACGTCGCTTCAACGTGAGTTTTCCGCGCGCGCGCGTTCTGGGAAAAGCGCCCACGCTTCGAGGCCGTTCCGAGAGATGATCGCTCGTCCAAAAATCAGCCGAAACGAGCGGAAACCGGCCGAGAGAGGAGCCTTTGAAGTTGGGAATTTCGCTCTCTTGTCCTGCCCAGGCCTCGGCGGCCCCGCGGGCGAGCCGGGCTTCGCGCCGGAGCCGCTCCCGGCCTGGGCGGCGGAGCTCTGCGCGGCGGCGGCGACGGACGACGCGCGCGGCGCGCCGAACCACGCGCTCGTCAACGCCTACGACTTCGACGCCGAGCCGCGGCCCTTCGTGTTCCCGCACACCGACGGCCCGGCCTACGACGACCGCACGGCGACGCTGAGTTGCGGCGCCGACTGCGTCATGACCTTTTCGCGGCGCCTCGCGCCGGAGGAGGTCGGCGTCGTCGCGCCGTCGGTCGCGTGCACCGTCGCGCTCCGGCGGCGGTCGCTGCTCGTCTTCTCCGGCGCGGCCTACGCGGCCCACACGCACGCCATCGACGCCGCGGAGAGCGACGTCGTCGCCGGCGACTGCGCGAACGCCGACCTCGCCGGCGTGGCCGTCGGCGACGTCCTGCCGCGCCGCGGCCTCCGCCACTCGTTCACGCTCCGCCGCGCGAAGCCCATCCCGAGTAAGTGACGCTGTCTTTGCGGGGCCAACGCGCCGCGCCAACCGAAAAAGAAGCACCAAAGCGCCAAGCGTCCTAGAAATTATAGCCGCCGGGCCCCCTCAGCCGCCGGGCCGGCAGGGCGCCCAGCAGAACGTCGTGCACGCGCGGCCCGTCTTCTCCCACTGGGCGGCGTCCGCGGCGCCGGCCTTGGACGGCGCGTCGACGATGTCCGCGCCGTCGTCGGGCACCTCCGTGCCGCTGTGTTTGAGAATATTGAGCGTCTTGACCCAGCAGGCCGCGTCGGCCTTGGTCGGCGCGCGGAGCGTGTACGTGCGGTCGTTCAAGCCGATGGCGAAGAGGCCCGCGTCCGGGTCCGGCGGCTCCGGCGGCGCCGCGGCCGGCGCGGCGCCGCCGGGCGGCGCGGGCAGCGGCGACGTCGTCGCCGCGGGCTCCGGCGCTTTGTCGACGCAGCGGATGGCGCCGCACTGCGGCAGCGAGAGCGCGGCGAGGAGCTTCGTCATGCGCTTCGACTTGTAGTAGGTCAAGAACGAACCGTTCGTCTCGAACCATCGCTTCTGCCATTTCCCGTCGCGCGTGAGCTTGTGCAGGTAGCCGTGGATGCGCACGACCTCTTCCGTCATGGGCCGGAAGGCCTCCGTCGACCCCTGGCGGATGCGCTCGTCGACGGGCGGCGCGCCGGCCATGCCGTCGCGCGGCAGCGGACGGAAAGAACCCGCACCGCGGAGAGGCAGCCCGCTCGAGATCGAGAGCAGAGCGGATCAGCGTTGTCGGCAATATCATCACATACACAAACCGCCAGCGCCGCCGACGTGATAAGAGAGCGCCCCGCGCGCCTCGAGCCCGCGCGGGCCATGGTCTACTTCAACACGGACACGATCCTGCGCGCGAAGCGCGCCCAGGCCGAGTACGAGAAGGGCACGACCGTCGGCGGGCGGCGGGCGGCCCTCTACGCGCCCAACAGCGCCGAGTCGTTCTTGACGTGGCACCCGCGGCGCGAGGTGACGAGCCTCGTCGGCGCCTACCGGCTGAGCAACGGGAACCTGGGCTGCCCCTGGCCCGTGGACCGGTCCGCGACGCTCCAGAAGGAGCGCAGCGGGCTGCACGCGAGGCTCAGCCGCTACGAGAGCGGCGTCGACCGCCTCGAGGCGCTCCTCCGCGAGAAGCGGACGCGCGGCGCGCGGCCCGCGACGACGGGCGGCGCCCTGGCGCCGCCGGAGGACGCCGTCGACGCCGGCGCGCCGCTCACGGCGGGCAAGAGCGTGCGCTTCCGCTACCCGCGGCGGAACCCGCCGCCGGTGCGGCCGCCGCGGCCCTTCGACCCCAACAGCGGCTTCGGCAAGCAGCCGCTGAGCGTGCTGCCGAGCGTGCCCGGGCCCCTCTTCGGCACGGCCGACGTCCGCAACGACCCCTTCCCCTACTGGCCCCTCACGCTCAACTCCAAGGGCCGCGGCGACCACCACGAGCGCGTCGTCCGCCTCGGCAAGGACATGCCCATGAGCCGCTGGAGGACCGCGCCGTCGCCCAAGTTCTCCACGGAGCCGAGCCACAACATGCTCCGCACCGGCAACGCGACGACGGGGCCCCTCTGGTGATCGGCGCCGTTAAGCGCCTTCTTTACTAGCTCGGTTGTCCCCCGGGGAGAAGCACCCGCCTCTTACGAGCTCGCGGCGGCCTGGTATGTCGGCTCAGGCGCCGGCCGGCGTCGCCGGCGGGCAGAGGGACTTGGAGAACGAGAGCCGGAAGGCCGACGCCCCGCCGCCCTCGAAGCCGATGCCGAACGCGACGCCCGCGCCGACGAGGCCCGCGTACCAGAGGAGGCAGCCGACGTTGAGGAAGAAGAGGGACCCGCCGAGCGGCGCGTCGCGGTGCCCGACGATCGCGCCCGGCCCGCGGAAGGGGTAGTAGCACAGGCCCATCTGGAGCAGGAGGAAGAGGGGCACGAGGCCGCGGCGCACCGCGAGGTCCACCGGGGGCACGTCCGCGCCGCCGAAGAAGTGGCGGTGCAGCCAGAAGACGCGGCGGTACGCGGGCGAGAGCTCGAGCGACCGCGTCGTCCGCGTGCGCCGGAGCGTCTGGAGCTTGAGCGCGCCGCCGTCCTCGTCGTAGCGCTCCCACCGCGACGACACGACGACGAGGACGAAGCTCAGGAACTGGAACGTGAGCATGACGGAAAAGTAGGAGTCGAGCCACGTGTACTCCTCCGTCTCCTTGGCCTCGTAGAGCATGAAGCTGCTCGCGACGATGCCCGCGAGCGACAGGCCGCCGCGGTCCATGCCGTGGGACTTGACGTCGTCCATCCAGAACGCGCCGAAGGCGATGATGTTGAACGCCCAGCCGACGAGGACGAAGGACCGCTCGATGTACTCCGCCGCGCGCTCGAGCCGAATCTCGTACGACACGCGCGGCTCGTCGCCGCCGGGGCACGTGTCGCCGCAGCGGTCGACGTCGGACCACGCGCCGACGTAGGGCCTCGGCCCGCCGCGAGGCTTCGGCTGGTACCAGGGGGCGAAGCCCGAGTTGGAGCCCTTGAGCAGACACATCCTAGCCCCTTTATGACCATCGACGTGCGCAACGCAGTTGCATTGAAACCCTCAGGAAGTCTTCTCATAGCCTCCTCCGCGCGAAGCCCGCGTTCACAAAGAGACAAACATCAAAACATACGATTATCTCCTATATCAATTTCATATCTACAGAACTTCAACTTCAACTCACATTCAACTCAACATCACATCAAACGCCAAGTCAGCTTCAATTTAACAGATGCGTATAACGGATTCTCAACGGACCGCGTATGATGTCATAGAAGTCGGGCGCGAGGTGAAGTTAAGTTGAAGTTGCGGTTTTGCCAATATATAAAATTGTTATAGTCAAAAATGAATATGAATGTTATAGAATTAGTGCTGTCTAGCGGATTCTCAACGGACCGAGAATTGCTCGGATCGCCCACTGTTTCCTCGACTCTCGAGTCCCGCCGGGGCATGTGCAGCGCGCGCGGCCGCCCCGCGCCTTCGAGCGAGGCTCCCCACACGCACGAACGCGAAAGGAGGTCAGTATACGAAGGCTTGCCGTGCGCCGGTTTGGTGCTTGGGGGTTTTGGGGGGGCTCCTAGGAGTTGGAGCCCGTGTTCGCGGCGGTGTTGTGGACGAGGGACCTCGGCTCGCTCTGCGGCGTCGTCGAGCCGACGACGAGCTTGCGGTAGGAGAGGCCGAGGAGCGGGGACGCGCCGGGCGGGAGGAGCGCGCGCCTCGCCTGGTCCCGCGGCGCCGCGGCGGGCGGCGCGGCGGGCGGCGCGTCGCGCGGCGCGTCGTCGGCGGCGCGGAGCCGCTTCGCGCGGTCGTCGCCGTCGCGGGGCGGCAGGGTGCCGTAGAGGCCGCCGAGGGCGTGGCCGCCGAGGGCGTCGCCCGTGCGCCGCGCGGCGGCCGCGGCCGCGCGGTGGTGCTCCGCGAGGAGGTCCCGGTAGTTCCGCTTCGGGCTCGGGCTGCCGAGCGCCGCGGGCGGCGCGCCGCGGTCGTCGCCCGGCGCCGGCGCCGGCGCCGCGGCGAGGGCGTCGGTCCGGGGCGCCGGCGGCGGGAGGCCCCGGGGCGCGGCGAGGGACGCGACGGCGCCGCGCGCGCGCGCGAGCGCGGCCGCGCCGGCCGCGCGGCGGAGCGACTCGTGGCCGCCCGGGCCGCGCTCGTGGCCGTGGAGGCCGCGCTGCGTCGCCGCGTCGAAGGGCGGCGGCTCCGCGAGGCGCGCGGCGCGCGCCTTGGGCTGGTCCGCGATGCCCAAGCGCCGCGTGACCGTCGCGGGCGACGCCTCGACGCCGAGGTCCGGGGGCACCCAGCCGTAGAGCTCGCTGTAGAGCTCCGTCGCGGGCTTGACGGCGGCGGCGGACCGCGCCGCGGCGAGCACGGCGCCGGACTGGCCCGCGGACGCCGCGGACACGGACCGGAGCGCCTCGGTCCGCGCGTCGCGCGCCGCGGCGCCGCCGCGGCCGGTCGCGGCCGCGTCGGCGTCGCAGGCGTGGGCCATCTCGCCGATCTTGTCGATGGCGCGCATGAGGATCTGGCGCCGCCGCTCGCTGGGCCGCTCCTCGAACTCCGTGAGCTCCGTCGCGGTGCGCGCCGCGGCCTCGGCGGCGCGGACGGCCGCGCGCGCGACCTCGTCGGCGGTCTGGTTGTCGCCCGGGCGGTACCCCGCCGGGGGCTCGGGCCGCGGGAAGGCGCCGGGCCGCGGCGCCTCGGGCGACGCGAGCGCGCGCCGGTCCGTCTCCAAGGTCCGCGGCGTGTCGCCGCCCTGGCCGACCTGTGTGCAAATCAACCAGTGAGCTGGGACGTCGGGGCCAAACTTCAGAATGCTCTAGCTCGGTCAAATCGAAGTCGATTCGGCTGATTTTTGGACGAATCGATTGCTCTCGGCGAGTTCTCGAAGCACGGCGGAAGTGCTCGTGTCAAAACATTCGAATACGCGCACATTGAAGTCGGGTTGAAGATTTGATTTGCACACAGTGGCCGACGAGCGTCCGGAGGTCCGCGCTGTAGTTCGCGCGCGCGGCGCGGAGCTCGGCGTCGCGGCGCGCCGCCGTGACGAGCGCCGCGCCCTCGGCGACGCGGGCGGCCCAGGAGCTCGACGGGCCCGGCCCCGCGGCCGCGGGCGCGGACCGCGGCGGCGCGCCGCGGACGGCCGCGTTCGCGGCGTGGAGCGCGCTCTGGGCCACGGTGCCGGCGCTCGGGTCGTCGGGCGGCGCGCCCGGCGGCGCGCCGAGCTTCGAGAGCGTGATGGCCCGGGGCCGGTCGCCGGCGGCGGGTGGAGGGGGCCGCGGCGGCGCGACCGCGGCGCGCGGCCGCGGCGGCGCGGGCGCGGGCGCCTCGCCGTCGACGGCCGCGCCGCGGCGCGCGGCGCGGGCCGCGCGGCCCGCGCCGGGGCCCCCGGGGTGGTCGACCACCTCGCCGGACCGCTGGGCCGCGCCGCGCATGGCGAAGAAGATGGCCTCGGCGGACGTCGTCTCCTCGGCGCGGACGAAGAGCGACTCGAGGCGCCGCAGCCGCCAGAGCTCGGGCTCGTCGAGGTGGCCCGTGCGGTAGAAGATGGACTTGCCCAGCGTCGCGCCCGCGAACTTCTTCGTGATGCGCATGGGCGCGCAGTGCAGCCGCGCGCTCAGGAACGCGCGGAGCGTCGTGCCGTCCGCGCAGTCGGGCACGACGCCCGCGAGGAAGTACTGGATGAGCAGCTCGCTGTAGTTCTGCTCGTCCGTGGTCCACTTGCCGCGCCGCAGCGGCAGGTCCGCGAGCGCCGCGACGGTCTTCCGCGCCGGCGGGGCGCCGCCGGCGTCGCTCGACATGGCGGGTCGCGTTCCCGCGGGCGGCGGCCGCGCGTTCCTGTTTTTTTTTTGTGTTTTGGCGTCCGGGACGGTCCGGGAGCGTGCGCGAGCGGTGTTCGCACTCGCCCCGTTCACTTGGCGTCACGAGGGGGGCGGTCTCGGCTGCGAGCACCTGTCTGCCACCTTCGATCGACGCTTCACGAGGGCTAGGGTTGATGTAATACGTACAAGACGCCTACGGCTTACTTGCCCCTGCCGGGGGGGCTTGCCTGCGGCGCGGCGAGAGCGCGCCCTTCGGGCGCGCTCGCGCGAGCTGAGCCACTCATTCCCGTGTCAATGCTTCCCTCTGCACCGCTCGCGCGACGACAGCCATTTAATTTCCGTACGGCGGGGGAACCGGCACGCACAACTCACGCATATATATATGGATGAAGCCATACTAGTGCTCCTTGCCTTCAACGCAGCCCTGGGTCAGGGCAGCCACTCGCTTGAGCTTTTTCAATCGACTCACGACCTTTGTGTTGCGATTTGCGTCGTGACCTGGGTCAAATTTGGCCTAAAATTAATAGAATTAGGTTTCATTTTCTTCTTACGCACGGAGAAGAGCTAAAATTCTGATGTTGCTGGGCCCGTGCAAAAGTCAAAAACGCTGTTTTGTTGGCAGCCTCTCATGGCAGCCTATGTACCACGGTAACGCGGACTGGTGCGTCGCGCGCAACGAAACCCAGAAACTCACGCGCGATGCTCTAGGCCAAAGTGGCCGCCGGAGGAGGACGAGGACTGGGACTTTACGGAGCTCGGCCCGTACCAGGCGCGGCGGGGCACCGCGCGGCGCGCCTGGTACGAGAAAGACTCCCTCGAGCGCGGCCGCCTCGACCCGGAGGAGAAGCGCGAGGCCGACTGGGCGGCGTTCTGCGAGCGCAAAGACGACGACGAGGACGAGGACGACGGCGACGGCCTCGACATGCCGCCGCGCAAGTCCGCGGCCGGCCGCCGCGCGGCCGCGAGCCCGCGCGGCGGCGGCGCGGCGGCCTCGCCGCGCGCCGGCGCGTCGCCGCGCGGCGCCGCGTCGCCCCGCGGCGCCGCGGGCGCCGGCCTCCCGGGGACGCCGCGCGGCGCGAAGAAGGCCGCGGCGACGGCCGCGAAGGCGGCGTGGAGCCCCGCGGGCAAGGCCAAGGCGCCGCCCGGCGCCGGCGACGGAGCGCGCGTCCGGAGAACCCCCCAGATCCATACTTGTTCGTAGGCGCCGCCCGTCGCGACGCCCAAGGGCGGCAAGCCCATGCTCTTCTCGCTCGCCGTGCGCCGCGACGCGGGCCTGAAGCTGCTCGTGCTCCGCTGGTACGACGTCCTCGTCAAGGGCCCGCTCCGCGCGGCGCTGCGCAGGTGGCGGCTCAACGAGGAGCGCGCGGTCTCCGCGGCCTTCGAGGCGTCCTGGGAGTCGCTCCTGGGCCGCACGGAGGCGCGCAGGGTCCAGCTGCGGTGCCTCCGCGACTGGCAGGCCGGCGTCGCGCGGCGGCGGAGCGCGAGGACGGCGGCGGCGACCCTGGAGGCGCGCTACCGGCGCCCGCCCTTCGCGAAGGCCTTCCGGCGCTGGCGGGGCTACGACGTCGAGCTGCGGAGCCGCCTGCGGGCCTACGACCGCCTCCGCCACGCGCTCTGCGGCGCCGGCCGCCGCTGCTTCGCGAAGTGGGCCGCGATGGTCCTGGGGCACAAGCGGCTGCTCGCCAAGGCGGCGCGCCACGCGGGCCGCTTGCGGGACCGGGCGCTGCGCCGCCTGCTCCGGAGCTGGCGCCGCCACGCGGCCGACGCGCGCCGCTTCCGCTTCGCGGCGCTGCGGCGCGTCTTCGCGACGCACGCCTTGCGGAACCCGAAGCGCGAGGCCTTCCGGCGGCTCCGGACGTTGGCGCTGGCGCGGCGGCGGCGGCGGCGCACGCTGCCCGCGCGGACGCACGTCGTCGTCCGCCTGCGCGAGGCGTCGGTGGCGTGCGCGCTCCGCGACTTCCACCGCCGCTGGCGCGCGTGGATCCAGACCCGGAAGCGCTGCCGCGCGCTCCTCGCGCGCCAGCTCAAGCGCGTCGCGCGCGCGCCGGCGCGGCGCGCGCTCCACGCGCTCAAGGTCGCGGGCGACGCGGGCCGCCTCGCGGACGCGCGGCGCCGCGACGCCGCGGCGGCGATGGTCCGCGCGTCGTTCCGCGCGACGTTCTCCTGGTGGTTCATGATCGTCCACCGGCGCATGCGCGCGCGGTCGCGCCTCCGGAGCTGCCTCCGCGTCGCCGCGCGCTGCCGGCTCCGGTCCGCGCTCGGCCGCTGGCGACGCGCGGCGACGGAAGAGCGCGCGACGTGCCCAACTTCAAAGGCTCCCATCTCGGCCGTTTCCCACTCGTTTCGGCTGACTTTTGGACGAGCGATCATCTCCCGGAACGGTCTCGAAGCGTGGATGCTTTTGGGGGGAACGCGCGCGCGCGGAACGCTCACGTTGAAGCGACGTTGAATATGTTGACGCCCAGGTGGCGCGCGGCGACGGACATCGCGACGAACCGGAAGAAGTCCGCGATCCAGCAGCGGCTCATCCAGCTCGACATGGCCGAGCTCTACGACATCGCCGCCGTCGGCGCCGCGTCGACGCGGCCGCCGCCGCCGGCGCGCCGGGGCGCCTACCGCGACCGCTTCGGCGCGGACCGCGCGGCCGGCGACGGCTACGAGGACGTCGACGGGCCGCGCCACTTCCGCGACGCCTGCCGGGCGTCGCCGCCGTCGCCGGGCTCGGCCCACCACCGGGCGCCGACGTTCGCGAACCTGGGCGACCGCGCGGACGACTCGGGCTCGCCGCAGTCGACGCGGTCGGGCTACACCTACGACGACGGCGTCCCGAGCCCGCGGTCGCCCTACGGCCGCGACGCCTGGGGCCCCGGCGCGCCGCCCTACTGGCCCTCCGCCGCGTCCGTCCGCTCCGCCGACTTCGCGCCCGCCGCGTCGCCGACGGCCGCCTACCGCTCGCCGCCCGCGGCGACGCCCCACGGCGCGCGCCACCTCCGCTTCGAGAGCCGCGGGGCTTAAGAGCAGTCGCGATCGACGGGGCCGCGCGGGCTCGGAGCAGACGGCCCCGATGGGGCCTTGCGCCCCGGGAGCCAGCCACCAGGAGCCTGAGGGACATACTTGCCCGCCCCCTTACCGAACGCGTCGCGCGGAGGGGCAACTTGCCCACGGCGGCGCCCCTTCAACGACACGACGCTGAATCTGTCTTGTCGTGTTCGATCTCTCAGACTATCGAAAAAGGAGCTGAACTCGCGCGCATCGTCTCCTCCCGCGTCCAAATATCCCCGGATTGGCTAGAAGTCGAAGACCTGCGCGTGGGTCGGCAAGTCGCCCGCGAAGCGCTGCGACAAGGAGTCCAAGTCCAAGGTCTTGGCCAGCGACGCCTGCCCCGTGGCGTGCGACGCCTGCCCGACCTGGGCGGAGGTGACGGAGGACCTCCAGGAGACCTGCGCGCGGCATATCACCGCGCTCGAGGCCAACCTCGCGCACGGCGAAGGCGAGATCGCCGCGCTCAAGGCCGCGAACGCCGAGCTCGAGACCGCGAACGCCGCGCTCGAGGGCAAGGTGGCCGAGCTCGAGGCCAAGCTCGAGGCCCCGACGCCCGCGCCGACGGTCGACCCCACGGCAGCGCCTACGACGGCGCCGACGGCGGCTCCCACGCTCGAGCTCACGCTCGAGCCCACAGCGGCGCCCACGGCGCCCCCCACGGCCGCGCCGACGGCTTCCACGTGCGCCGCGAACGAGTGGTTGGTCTGCGAAAAGTGCCCCAGAGGCGCCACGTGCGACGGCGCCAACGCCGTGTGCGAAGGCGAGGGCAGTTGGTACGTCAACCGCTTCAACGTCTGCCTCGAGTGCCCGAACGGCTAGTGAAGGTCAGGCATCAGAGACCCAGAGACTAGAGACCTGGGCATCGAGCATCAGACCTGGGTTTCAGACTAAGAGAGACCTGGGATTGAAACCCAGGCCCTCGAATTACGAAAAAAACCTAGAAGTCGCCCAGGGCGTGGTCCAGGTCGCCGGCGGTGGGCCACAGGTGGACCACAATCACCTCCATCACCTTCAGCAGCAGCAGCAGCAGCAGCAGCGTCGTCGTCGTCGTCGCCGCCGCCGCCGCCGCCGCCGCCGCCGCCGCCGCCGCCGCCGCCGCCGCCGCCGCGCGCGCGCGCGCGCGGGCATTCGAACCTACAATCAGACACAGAACGGCATAGGGAAGGCCATTTTAGCTCAGTGGGTGAAACTGTGACGGTAATAGACGGGATCCCGAAATCGAGTGGGCGCGCGCGCAGCCCGCAGCCGCAGTGATCGACCGAATGTACTCCGCCAAAAGGATGGGGCAGCGCCGGCGCAACTCACTGGCGTGCTCCAGTGCACTTCCTTGGCCCGGGATGGGCCCCGATAGCGGTTCTGGCGGCGTCGGGGCAGCCCAGACGTCGCATGCGCACTCCTGCGGACAAACCGGGTTGGGGCATCCTGTCGTCAAGCGGCAAACAT